TTTTTTTCCATTTGGTAGGTTGGTAGGCTAGATTGGATTTTGGTAGGTTCCGCGACAATAAAAGTTAATAGCAATAAATAGAAAATATGTATCTCCTAACATTCTAGCAACCTTGATTACACGAATATTTCACCGGTGGGTCCGTTTAACGGCGACCGCAAACATGTAAATATAACTAATTCGTAAGTACACACGTATACCCTTATTATTGTCAATATACATACATATATTTTTTATTTTCTTCCATACAAAGTATGCTTGACAAAATTTTTACATGGAAGAAAATGCGCAGCACCGTCAACAAAAACAATTGCCGCCTCTATGTTTATTTTTTTTTAATGTTCAAAAAATTTTTAAATCGGATTTAGGCCCACTTGCAGAACATCCAGAGTTAAATATATAAATAGAGAGATAAGAAGCTCAGAGTTAAATTGTTATATTCCTAAACCAGACATTGTCTTGCAGCATTGAAAACTGGCCCAGAGTTAAGTAACCCGAGGGATTTTTAAATTAAGTAGGCACCATTCTCCCTTTTTTGACGTTTATTTCCATTTCTTATAAGGATTTGAATATAGAATTTCAAACACTTCCATACATACATACATACCCAACAAGCATTTCAGTAAATGTTTTTTAAAAATAACAAAGTAAGTTTGCTATAATAAGCGTTAAATAAGCATTTTTAATAGCCGTCATCGATTCGCCATCAGTTAGCAAGTGGCAAAACGAACGAACTCAATGAGGTACAACCAAACTTGCTATCGTCTATCCGTGCTAGCTAACTTTGTTGTTGCTTTCACATGCAAAATTTTTCGTTAAGCGACCGGAACTCAAACATAGCAAGCAGCGAAGTGGCGAATCGATGACGGCTAATATTAAGCTTATTAAAAGTTTTTTCAAATAAACCTTTAATAAGTTTTGAGAGCGAATGTTTATAAATAACTTAAACTTATAAATGAAATGCAAATGCCAACGACATGAAGTAGTAAATATAACACTTTTTCAATCGTAAGTGACGTGTTTACGTTTTTTAAAATATATTATTAAAAGAAAAAATTAAATAAAACCGATGCGGTAAAAAAAATCCAATCCAGGACCCGCTGCGCTAATCGGTGGAGCATTCGAGTCTTCAAATGATGATTTCTCCTTATCCTTTCTTAGTTTAACATTCAACTAAAAATGTATTAAATTTTTTTCAGAAAAGTTCATTAATGAGAATGGCGGCGATGAAGCGGAATATATAGCTGCATCGATGTCGTTTTTCCAATTTTCCAATAACCGCATGTAATTGAAAGCACGCAACAAGATGTAATAATTAACTTTTTTATGCTTAATTTTATATCATGAATTTGTATGCTGAAATATCTATTCCCTATTTATATTTTCGCGACTGTAGATGAGTCCGCCGAAAATTCGCATTTCTTTTAGTTTCTAGATGTTAAGCAATCTATGTATGAGTTTTTAATGAAATATCTTTAAATAAAGCGTTATAAAAATGTTTATAAAAAGCTTTCTTTTGAAAATTTTTTGTAAGTTTATATTCATACGCTTATAAACAACTTTTTTTGAACCTTTATTATAAGTTTACACTTTTACGCTTATAAAAAGCTTTCTTTTGAAAATTTATTACAAGTTTATATTTCTACGCTTATAACCAATGTTCCTTTTCGATTATATTACGCTTACTTTCAAGCGTTTTATAAACAAAAAATCAACGTTTTGTAAGCTTAATGTTTATAATTGAAAACTTAAAAAAAGCTTTCTTTAAGTTTATTTTGCTTGTTGGGTACATAAATAGGTACAAATTGTAAATTGGCCAGCGGCACTTCCGAGAGTTCTCTTAATTGGATGGACTACTAACACGGTTGGTGCATTTTAATCGCATATATTTTTTACGCCAGACTGACCAAAACCTCAGAGCTGAAGGCGGAATAATGAATACGTGAATATGTATGTATGTATGTATGTATGTATGTATGTACATATATTTTCAAAAATATTTTTGAAATCTCAATTTATTTTTTCTTGTTACTGACAGAATTGACATACGTAGAGTTAGGAAGTTAACCTTCGAAAATGGCTGGGCTAAATATTTAACGATTTAACTCTAATTTTACTCCTAACCATTGATTGCGCAAGCCAATTTGTCAATTTAACCAGTAAACTTCGAGTTAAATAGATAACCTGCTGTTCTGCAAGTGGGCCTTAGACGTAGAATATGCTATATTTTTTATAAAAAATTAATGAATATTAAACAAACAAAAGGAAAACTGTAACTAATAAATATTAAAAGGGTGCGCTATTCAAATAACGATGAGTTTATATTTCTTAATTATTAATTAAATTTTAAACTTTAAACATAAATCACATTAGCTTCATTGGTATTAATCTTTTTGTAATGAACATATACAAAACTATAATAAGGCATATTACATATTACACGAAATACCCGAACCTCTGCAAAGCAAATTTTTAAATGCAAACTTTGGGTCGTTGAACACGAAAAAAATACCCATGGTTTCAAAGAAGTGTTTTCGAGATTTATTCAAAAAACGAATTTTTAGTACTTTTTTCGGTTAATCGTCAATATAACATGAAACGACCTACAGCTCGAAAGGTTTTGATGGACCCTTTGCAAAAGTATATAATTTGTGCAGATTGTGTTTCGTAACATTTACATTTCTCATAAGATTCTCATTTACCGTAAAAAGAAAATGATTGGAATTTCACTTTTTTCGATTTTGGTCGCTTGTAACACTAATAATTTTCTATAGGGTAGTTTAAGGAGCTTTTCGGCTAATTTTCATCAAAATCGGCAAAGTAATATATTTTTGTAAGAGGACTGTAGGTCGCTTATGATGATTGGATAATTTTTAGCATTTTAATTTTTTGTTCAAAAAACATGTTTGAAAAGAAAATTGGCTTGGAAAACATTTTTTTTTTTCTTAAGCGATTACCACAAAATTTGTAGAACAGTGTTATTGATTTATTTGACGCTGGGCTTCATTTTCTCGTCATCCATTGCCCATAACCGTACAAAATTTAGAATGCATTGACTGGTTGAACCTTCAAAACCAGCTTACCCTTATTTAGTTATCAATTAGTTATCGACGCTACTTTTATTTCGATTAG